ACTCCCTTGCGAGTCAGGCTATTTGTCAGTCGATGTAGCAGCATTCCCTTGCGAGTCAGGCTATTTGTCAGTCGATGTAGCAGCACTCCGTTGCGAGTCAGGCTATTTGTCAGTCGATGTAGCAGCACTCCGTTGCGAGTCAGGCTATTTGTCAGTCGATGTAGCAGCACTCCGTTGCGAGTCAGGCTATAAGATAGTCGATGTAGCAACATTTACACATGTTTTAAAAATGTTTTTTATTATATCAATAACAAAAACACCACTAATTAAAAAAAACTTTCTAGTCGTTATAATTGCAGTTTTTTAAAAATTTTTTAAAAAACAATTAAATTTAATGTACTTCCGTATAAATTAATTGCTTTGACATTTCGATGACAATCAAAAACAGCTTAAGAGACGAGGTAATTAAAATTGTAGTCGTAAGAGACTTTTTTTACATTAAAACGCTCTTTCGACTACACTATATGGGTATATATATATACATATATATATATATACATTTTAATATATATATATATTGAGTTTTGATAATATATATATGTATATATATATATATATATATATATATATATATATATATATATATATATATATATATATATATATATATATATATATATATATAAAATATATATATAATATATATATATATATATATCATAGATGAGTTTTTTCCAGGAATTCCCGAAATTTCCGCAAATGCAATTTCTCAAAACTCATTTCCATGTGTTTTTTGTTATTAATTTTAAAAATATTATATAAGATTTTAAATACGACAGCGTTTGCATTTAAACAAATATATTTTCTATAATTTTATTTTTAATTCATTCAAATTACCTTTTTCGAATATCAGAAATTCCTTATTAATTTATAATTTTTTTTTTGTAATTCCTTATTTATCCTTTTATTTTGTTAAAATGATTTTACAAGATTTATAGCAAAAAGTTTCCGGGATTTTCATAAAGTCAAAAACTCATCTATGATATACATATATATATATATATATATATATATATATATATATATATATATATATATATATGTATATATATATATATATATATATATATATATATATATATATATATATATATATATATATATATATATATATATATATATATATATATATATATATATATATATATATATATATATATATATATATATATATATATATATATATATATATATATATATATATATATATTTATTAGGGTGACACAAAAATGCAAAAACAATTTTTTTTTAGATTTCGAACATGCTAAGGTTTCCTATCCATTATACGCCTTATAAAGAGTCTCTCCCAAAAATATTTCCCTTTAAATGTGTTAAGAACAGCTACAAGTAAAAATTGAGTTTTTTTTTTTGAGATAAGCTTTCTATGCTCTCGGACAACCAACAATATATTCTGGCGTTGATCTTCATCATGGGATGTGTCAACATATTCTTGGATAAGACCAATGTTTCTTTCTGCACAATCATTAGTGACACTTAACATACATACAAAGCTACAAAAGTCTTTATAAGATGCAAGTTCCTCCAAGTCTCCCTCAGTCTGATACCACTCCCTGACAACACTAGTGGTGTCGGCAATAATAAACAGAAGCCAATTTTCCTCTGTAATTAAGTCTTCTAATTTAGTAAACTCTGAGACGGATACCCTCCCTGGAGCCTCTAAGCTTAAATCTTTCTTGTTAGGTACAGGGAATGTTAATAGCTTTTCTATGACAGACATTTAGGTAGACCTGTCGAGATCAGGATCAGTCAACGCCATAGTAACACACTTTGAAGAAAGATACCAAGTAAGGTTTTAAAGGCTTTTTAATAAAACATTACCAACATCATAACCGAAATCCCAATCCTTTTGGATGATTGTAGCAGCTTTGTATGCCTCAAGGTCATTTACTACTGCATGTTCAGCTTTGCTGGATTTGAGAAATGAAGGAGCCAAGTATAAGGCAACAATAAAGTTAGCTTTAGAGACTTAAGTCTTCTGATCATCACTCAGGAAGTTAATAATAGGAGACGTAATATCCAGAGGCCCCAAGTAGATGCTGTCACACATAAATCATTATGGTTAGCACCTGGTTGGTACAAACTAAACTTTTCAAGCTTGGGTGAATTGATATTCATATAGAATGCTAGGTAATTTACCAAGTGATTATAATCATTCCTAGGAAAAACATTATACTCAAGCGAATAAGCAATGAATTTCTTAGACTTGAGATATAAACTGTGAAGATCACTTCCAACAACCAACTCACTTTCGGGAAACTTCTTGAATTTTTTCTCAGCTCCCCCTATACTAACAATAGAGTAATTATTCATCCAAGCGTGCTTTAAATTTTTATACATCTGTTTAGATAGTCCCGCAGTTTTTTCTTTAAAAATAGCTTTGATGCCCGATTTTATATGGATTTCTGCAATATGGTACCGACACAAGAGCCAGAAAACTGATTGTCCCAAAACTCTGACTAAAGTTACAATTGCTCCTGATTTTTTTCCTGTGTTTATAACTGTTGTGTCAGTACACACAGCAATGATATTCTCTGATATTTTGAAATATTTTACCAGATTCTGGAGTACAATAGCCATATCATTAGCTTTTCCATTGTCCACAGGAACAAGTCCAAGAAGTAAATCGTTGTTTGACAAAAACTCAGGACTTGTAACTGATACTGCTAGTCTATCAATAAGAACTTTTTTCTTCGATTCTTCTTCTATGTGCTTTACAATTTTTCCATCAAAGTGTAGCACAAATGGTTTGTTCTTCATTGTTTCCATATACTCATTACAGATTTTACAATCTAAACAGATTTTTATCTTTAAATTTAATAACTTTATCAATCAGCAATCTAAAACAGATTTTTATACTATTACAGTCTAAAAGCTAAAATGCTGAAACAGTATAATTTGTTACCTTTAGAATGGATTAGTTTGTATCTGCCTCCTGTAATCGACTCTACGCTTATCCTTAACTCTGTGATATCTCCTTCAAGATGCTTTACAATGCTAGAGATAAATAGAGTTTGATCTCTTATACTGATACCAGCTCTTATACTGTTGCTGCCCTTCTTAGTGATCTCTTTGTTTACTGCTGAGGCTGAGGGACCAGATCTGTGTCTTGATTTAGGCCTATCAGGCTTATCAGCCAAAGTTGGTTTAATGCTTAAGTCAGGGTGACAATCTTCTCTATTAGGGTACAGCTAGGAGGACCTATCAAAGAAGTTTCTTTGAATGAAGAAATCAAAATTTTTTATCTCTTGCATGACATGGTATTAAAAAGGATGGGAGGAGAGAGAGAAATGACTAGGAAATAATTAAAAGATACTAAAAAACATTATACCTAAGACTGATTTTCTTTTACATTTTTTAAAAGGTGGTTCATCTACTTTACTTATATATTTATCCTTTGTTCTCTCTACATTATTAGGAACCAACCAATCTGTTTCAGCTTTTTTCCGTAGCTCTTCGTGTCTAGTGTATCTTTCAATTCTTAAACAAATAAAAACTTTTGAAATTTAGTATATAAAAATGTTTAAATATTTGGCAAATCTTAATCAGTTTTAGTTTCATTAAATGTTTGTTACCCTGGCCTTCATCTTCATCTTCATCAACGCAAGTACTGATAAACATTTTTCTGTCTTGTCTTTGATCTTGAAGAAAAACTAGGTCTTCTTTTATTGTAACACTGTCTCTTGGCATAAAAGTATTCGGACGCATGGTGTACTCAAACTGTTGAGAACTGATATCAAACAGGTTATCTGTCATTATCAGGAACTTTTCTTGCTGCTTTTGAGATGCATTTGGTTTTATTTTAAGTGTTTTTTCATTACAAACAGCTTTATATTGCTTTTAAATTACTAGAAACTTGTTTAGTATGCTTACTTCTGAAAGAACATAGTTCTGAAAACCACAAGAGGCCCACATATTTACAATACTCCGGAGCAAACAGTATTCTCCAGTCACAGCATTGCATCAGTTGAATCAGTTCCTTTGCACTTCATATCTCCAGAAGATGTCTTTTGTGCACAAGCACAAAAGACATCTTCTGGACAAAGTTAGTCTTGATTGGTCTGAATCTTTTAGCCCTGGGGGAAATAACATACAGAAAATATCTAATAACATGACCATTAGTAGGCAATTGCCTGCTAGGTAGAGAGCTCAGTGGAGTTTCAAGAAGATAGATAGGTCTTTATGGGTTGTAATTGATTGGCTTTACAGCTCCTTTTTTAGCTTTAGATATTCCCATTTTTCTGAAATATTCAAATGTTTGAACAAAGAATTGATTTAAACATTTATAAAGTTAAATATAAAAATTAATAAATTGTGCTTTTAAACAAATTGAGTAATAATATAATAAGAACTTAATGGCTGACAGTAGTAACGATGGGGTGGTGGGGTCCTAAGATTTAGAGTAAGGATAAAGAAGCAGAGGAGTTGGTGGGCATTGTCAATATGAATATGAATAAAATAATATGAATGAAAATAAACAAAAGTATTTTATTGTATATCAGCATTAATCTACTATTTCCTCTGTTACGTAAGCTTGAACAGGAAAATGCTGTCTGCTGAAATTCGTCAAATAAATTGATTTTTAACATTATAATACATGTGTTATTTATAATGTCTGAAATATATCAAATATCTTATAGAATGTAAAAGATATTTTTGTATTGTCAAACATGTAAAGTATACCTGTTTATAAAATAAAAATGCTAATTCCCTGTAAAAATGGATTTTTACTTGAAGCTGTTACAAGCATCCAGCATACTTAAAATTTTGCCTGTGAACTCATACTAGGTAGCAAAATCCATAGGATACCTTAGCTAATTTTTTTTTTTTTTTTTTCAATTTTATATATAAAGAAATTTATGTGATGTAAAAATATCTTAGATATAATAATCTACTGCCTACATTGTCCTAGTAATAAACCAATCAGATTTCTATTCTGTTATATGTACTTTTGCAACTAGTCATAAATTTATTTTATTTAGGATTTGATGTTACTCGACGTCTAGAAAACTTTACTTGTTGTTTTTATCCTTTTGTTACATTAACGTACGAAATAATCATTCAACGAAGAGCGAAATTTTATTTGTTTAAAATTATACTTCCTGGAATTTATATTGCTTTACTGTCTTGCTTTTCTTTTGTAATTCCTCCAGTTACTGGAGAGCGAGCTAGTTTGGTTATGGGAAATTTTCTTTCATTATTAGTTTATGTGCTTATTATTTCTGACTCCGTACCTGCTAGTTCTGATTCGTTGCCGCTTCTTGTAATGTAAGTAATAATATTTATAAACCTTCATAATATTCATGTACTAGAACTTTCATTACCTACAATTAGTAGAAATAATTATCACTTATTAGTTATTTATCTAAAATAATTATTAGTCTTAAATACAAATAAAAAGCCTTAAATTAATCTTTTTTTTTTTATTTAGATTCTATAAAATATTATTGTTTGTAATCGGACTTGCGTTAACGGCGAGCTGTCTAATTTATTATATGTGTGTAAAAACTGTACCTGTACCAAAATGGCTTAAAGTCATTTTTTTACAAAATCATTTTGTAAACTTATATCGTATTATCGCAGCAAAATATTGTCGAAGTAAGAAGAGCTCAATAAAATTTGGTTGTAAAAACCAAAAAAGAACGTCTACTAACAGTCATGTTATCACAAGTCATAGTCCTAAGTTTTACAGCATTCATCATGATCGAAATCTTTTGGATTTGAAAAAAATTTATGGTATAACAAAAAGCTGTGACAAAAATGAGATAACTTATCTTAAGCATATTGAAGAATATTTAAATAGTTTTAGTTTGAGAGATAGTATTCGTAGTGATTGGGAAGATATTGCTTACGTACTTGATAAACTCCTATTATATGGGTTTACGTTACTTATTGGAATTAGCGTTATTTTTATTTTTGCGTATCCGCCAAATGTTGTATTTTAATGATGTGTTTAAATAAATCATTTTTTTACAAAATATTTAAAAACATTAGTTTATCTTATAATTATTAAATTTTTTGTCTTGTCATATGTGTATTATTTTTGTCTTGACATGTTCATATTAATTTGGTTAATGATATACAAGTATTATGAAAATGAACATTCTACATGAATTGATTAAATTGTTATTAGCAGGGGTGTGGAGTCGTAAAAAAAAAGTAACGACTCCGATTCCAGTTGTTAAAATTTTTTGAGTACAACTCCGATTGCAACTCCAAGGCAAAATTTTTGAAAAAATCATTGAATTCTTTACAAAATATTATGCGAGTAAGTTAAAAAAAATATTTTTTGACAAACTTATGTTACTTAAATGTTTTTTGAGGTTTAGTATAAACATAAGGTTAATTGAATGTTTTTTACATGAACGTGCAATACCGAGAAGTTTTACTATTGGAGTCAAAGTCGCGATTTTGTTTAGCGAATCCGACTCCGCTAAAAAAATGTCGCAATTCCGATTCCGACAATATATATATATATATATATATATATATATATATATATATATATATATATATATATATATATATATATATATATATATATATATATATATATTCGGATTCTAGACTAAAAAATATAGACAAAAATACTAAAAAGTATATATACATTAAATATTCGGATTCAGACTAAAAATCTTTTCGGGTGTATTTACATTTTAGAGCGATCTTTTTTAAATTGACGTATTATGAAGAACAAAATAAGAGAAAACTAAGTTGGAGTCTAAGTTTATTTACGTAAAGCTTGCAGGTACCTACATGGAACCTAGGTTCAATGAAGAATATCTGCAATATAAATAAAATTCATTTGCTATATAAATATCAATGTCTGTTTGAAATTATTATATATATGTATATATATATTATTATATATATAATATTGTATACAAAAATATAAATTTATAATAAATATATATATTCAAAACTGGATCTCTTGTTTATAAAGCAAGCGCTCTAACAACTGCACCACAGCCGCACACACACACACAAATATATATATATATATATATATATATATATATATATATATATATATATATATATATATATATATATATATATATATATGTGTATGTATATATATTATATATATATATATATATATATATATATATATATGTATGTGTATGTATATATATATATATATATATATATATATATATATATATATATATATATATATATATATATATATATATATATATATATATATATATATATATATTAGGGGTTTTCAGAAGTAAAAAAATTAAAATTTTAAAAATTAAACTAGCTAGTTTTGAAGCAAATTTTATATATGTATATATATATTATTATATATATAATATTGTATACAAAAATATAAATTTATAATAAATATATATATTCAAAACTGGATCTCTTGTTTATAAAGCAAGCGCTCTAACAACTGCACCACAGCCGCACACACACACACAAATATATATATATATATATATATATATATATATATATATATATATATATATATATATATATATATATATATATATATATATATATATATATATATATATATATATATATATATATGTGTATGTGTAAGTATATATATATATATATATATATATATATATATATATATATATATATATATATATATATATATATATATATATATATATATATATATATATTAGGGGTTTTCAGAAGTAAAAAAATTAAAATTTTAAAAATTAAACTAGCTAGTTTTGAAGCAAATTTTAACTAACTCCCCCACCATTGAATCACTCTTTCTTTTCTTTCAAAGTGCATGTTTAAAAAATTTTTCTTTCCAAATATGCCCCAAAATATATTTTGAGGTCCTTAAGGACCTCAAAATGGCTAAAAACAGCTTACTTGAAGTGTCTTGAGGCCAAGACTAAAATAAAAAATTTTAATAAATTTTTTTCTAGAACATAAATAAATTTCAAATTTTTAATTAAAAGGTATGGTTTTTTTTTCTCCCCTAAAAATAATCCCAGTAAACACATTTTGGTTCCGAATTGGTCAATATTTAGTCGAAATCGGTCGAAAAATGGATAAAACGCTTAGCGACCTCCCAGCAAACACAGACTGGTTTAGAATTGGTCAATATTTAGTCAAAATTGGTCGATAAATTGACAAAACGTTTAGCGACCAATTATTGACCTAAAATAGACGCTTGATTTTTGATCGGTATTTCAAATATTTTGGCATATACGTTTATTAAACGTCGATCAAACGTTTAGAATATCGACTTGCATTAGTCATTATCTAAACGTTGGATCGACGTTCAATAAACGTATATATTAAAATGACTTAAGAATAACACGACTTTTGAGTTTTTTGAGTTTTTTTTATTGAGTTTCACTCAATAAAAATTAAACGGAAAAAAAATGTTTCATTAAACGGAATAAGAATATAAATATTGCTAAAATAATAATTTTTTAACTAATAATAATATTCTAACAATATATAATTTTTTTCCATTTAATGCAAATATTTATATAACATAGTAAGGACGATCGACCTTTTATATATTTTTTATTTGAAGATAAAAGCGTCTATAAAAAAAACCCTCTTATTTTATAGTTTGTGCATTTTTATACTTTTTGGCGGAAATAATTTTTTTTTAATGAAAAAAAAATTGTAACGTCAAACTCGCTTTTATGTTGAGCAAACCATTAACAATTGACAATGGTTTGGCATCACTTAAGATATAAAATTTTATGTTTTTTGAAATTTTTACACTTTTTACACGTGATACACTTCAAACCTTATATTAGTCGCTTCGATCTAGCCTAGTAAACATATATATATGTTTATTAGTCTAGATCTAAGCGTCTAGAATTATAATAATTTATACCCTTAAATTCGTTTATTGAATTAGATCTTAACGTTTAATTAGACTAAATCTAAACGCTTCATATACGTTTATTAGACTATATCTAAACGCATTATATATGTATAATATACGCTTTATATACCTTTATTAACCCTATAATAGACGTCGAAAATACGTTGGAATCTAAACGTTTTATGGAGGTTTGGTCTAAACGTTAATCTGGATTTCATTCTGAACGTATAATCGACCAAATCTAAACGGTTATCTAAACGTTGTTTCGACGTCTAATAAACGTTTGTGTGTTTGCTGGGCTATTATTGAATAAAAATTGACGCTTGATTTAAAATGTATATTTCAAACTTTTTTATATATACGTTTACAAAACGTCGATCTAACGTTTAGAATATCGACTTACATTAGTCAATATTGTAAACCTTTAATTGACCTTAATTAAACAATGGAAGTTTAAAACAGATGGAAGTTCATTGAGCCGCAAACATCAAAGCAATTTCAAGTCGTCTCGGAAGTATTTTTGTAACCAACATTAAAAAAAACAAGTTTCTCTGGACAAAAAACAATAAAATTTACTGAAATGTTTTTAAATAAAACATTATAAATGAATTATTCTAGGGATATGCTGCAAGGTGTAACCATTAGCAATTGCAATTATTCAGAAAAAAGTTCGGTAATTTAATAGAACTACTTCATTTTAAGAGCATATGTTAGTTTAAGCTTCTTTTCGTGCTTCAAGTCATATCACGATATTTGATTAAAAAGACGACTAAAATAATTTTTTCAAAATCAAAAAAATTGTTTTCTAAATTACTTAAGTTTAGAGTTTCGTTAGTTTCATAATTTCATTCATTCTTGTAGTACTCCATTCATTTAATATGAAGTTTATAAAAAAGTTGTTGTTTGCCGTTTCGTTGCGCCATTTTCAATGTTTTTCTTGAATATTATTGGCGAACCTTCAAAATACTATAATTTTAAATTATTATAAACGTACCTGTTTGCGTCAACGTATAAAGATTAAGCATTTAAGTACAGTCTTGATGTCGTTTTCTTTTTGTTTACGAAACAAAAGGTTACAAGCTTAGTCCCGAAGAATTTTAATGCGGTTGAACTTCCATCTGTTTTATACTTCCATGATTAAACGTAAGCATTTGTGTATAGGTTTAAAATTGACGCTTTAAATCTTTTATATATACGTATATTAAACGTGAATCAAACGTTTACAATATTTACTAATATAAGTCGTTATTATAAACGTTTGATCGACGTTTAATAATCGTTTAGTAACATAGAAATGTAGCCATTGGTCAGAGGACTCACGTAACAGCTCAAGTCACGCGGTTCCATATGGAAAGTTGTTTTGTTTAGATCCAATTTTGAATTGTTCATTTAAAATGCTAACTATTTTACCCTAGTTTTTTGTAGTTACAAAATCAGGTTACAAAATCAGATGATCAGGATAAGAATGTAAAAAATGACGTTGCACAAGCAGGTGCAAGATGAACAAGCGGTAGACGGTATTCTAGGATAATTTTTGGATAATGCATAAACCAGAGAAAACAGTGATCCAAAGTATTTGTTTATGAGTTTATTAATTTTATTAGTATTCTTTGACTTGAGCTTAATGCAAACTTTTATTTTCTTCTGATGAGATTAAATTTAAAAAATATTTAATAGAAATTGTTACTATAAAATTTTCACTGCAAAAAGTTTGATCATTTAATTTTTTTTAATTATCGAAACATAAACAAGTATAGTACACAAACATTTTTTCTCTAAATCCCCGCTATATGAAAACGTTTTATATAAGTTTATAACTTTATATCGTCACTGCAAAACAAGACTATCTTAAGTCCATTTTTTCTATCCTGAGAAAAACGCATTTAAAGTTTTTAGTTCATCACTGCGTTTGAACTTCTTTTAAACTAATATTGTTTTTAAAATACTTATAGATTATGTTATATATAAACTATATTGTTTTTAAAATATTTATAGATTATGTTAATATTTTTCATAATATAACAATTAAAAAATAAAATTTTAAGTTTATAAAAAGCAACAATGCAAACGGACTTAAGATCTTAAAACTATATAAAATCAAAATTCTACAAATTAAATGGCCGCTGAAAACAAGACAATCTTAAGTCCATTATTCTGTTCTGAGAAGACATTTAAAGTATTAAATTTAATGACTGCTTCTGATTTTTTTAAATATTAATAATTTTAAATCTACTTGTTTTCAGTTATTTATTATGATCCGATGGCGATCACAAATAATACCGAATATGTATTATAACTTATATATTCAAGATCTAAACTGTTTTTACATTAACTATATTACTTATATTCTTTATATTTTTGTATCTTCAAAACAACAACAACAAAACTCTATTTATACAAAAATGTCGTTCAATAACAAAAATACTATTGTTCAAATAGTCGCGACATAATTGTTATTTAGTTCGTTATAGCCATATTGGCGCTATTTACTAGTTATATCGATCGTGATATCGGAATGTTGTTTTTCTTTTAAGCTGATTCAATTTCCTTCCAATCATTCTCCCCCTCTTTGATAGACTCCAGTCTATCAAACATTTAATTATCAAACTCAAGAAGACACAATCTCGTAATTGGTCGCATAAATTCTTTTTCGCCAATTTTGACTTTCACAACTCTTACACGTCCATCATTACCTTCAAAGACTCCCGTAATTCTACCAAGTGGCCAATGTCTTCTAGATGTTTTTGGAGAAATTACTAACACAATGTCATCCGCTTTTATTTCGCGTTTTTTCTGATTCCATTTATATCTTTTAGATAAAGATGGAAGCCATTCTCGCATCTATCGTTTCCAAAAATGACTTAGTGGTTCTTGCACTCGACGCCAGCGCTTTTTAGGATGATAGCCTTTAGATTGAACTGAGTCAGGTGCAAATTGTTCACCAACTTGCCCAATCAAAAAATGATTTGGAGTTAATGGAATATCATCTTTTATATTGGCGCTCTGATATGTTAGTGGGCGAGAATTCAATAAACTCTCAGCACCTGTAAATGCCGTACAGAGTTCTTCATCTGTAATATCGGCTTTTTCGAGTATCCCAGTCATTGCACGTTTGACAGCTTTGACCATTATTTCAAATACACCGCCTAGATGAGGTCCTAACGAAGCATTAAAGTGCCACTTGATTCCTTTATCAGCTGTAGAGTTAGTAATTTTATCCTTATCTAAGTCGTTGACAATTTCGTTTAGTTCTCGACATCCTCCGACAAAATTTGTTCCATTGTCCGTTAAAACTTCTAATGGTAATCCTCTTCTATTGACCATTCGATAAAAGGCATTGAGGAATGAATTTGTATCTAGATTATAAGCCATCTCAAGATGTACTGCTCGTGATAGTAAACAGGTAAACAAGCACAAGTATCTCTTTTGTCGTATCTTCCCTCTACCTTGCATAGTAAGAAATGGACCAGCAAAATCAATACCAATTCTAGCAAACGCACGTAGTGGTTCTTTAAAGCGCATTGCTGGTAAAGGGGCCATCAGCTGCTGAGCAGGTCTACATCTACTTAATTTACATTTGTTGCATTTTGCTTCTGCATCTCGAATTTCTTCTCGTCCTCGTATTACCCAATATCGTTCTAATAGTTTTGTTAATAATTGATTTGTTCCCATCACATGATTGGCTTCGTCATGGTAATGCTTAACAATCAATTTTGTTATTGTATGTCCTCTCGGCAAAATGATTGGATACTTGACATCGTAGGGTAAGTAATGGGCATTTTGCAATCGACTGCAAGATCGCAATAATCCGTCTTCGTCAATTTGCGGATTTAAAGAAATAATTTTGCTTGATATCGATATCGGTTTTCCTTTTTTAATGTTGCTATATTCTTCTTTAAAGCTTTCTTTTTGAGCTTTAGCTATGATTTCTTTTTCGCTTTCATGATATTCATCAACTGCTATATCACCCTTTTTACGATAGTCTGTTTCAAATCGACAATTTCCTATAAACCGATGGATCCAGCCGTTTATCCTGACAAGTTTTTTCCAACATGAGAACTTGTTTATATCAAGCAATTGCTTTGTTACTTCAGTGGATAATGCAAAATTCATTAATACTAAATTTTTCTTTACTTCAATTGAAGCCTCTTGTGTAACTTCAATGTGATTCTGTGGCCATTTTTCTTCTAAAGAATTAAGGAAACTTGGTCCATGCCACCATACATAATTGCCCCTTGTTAGTAAATCAGCTACATTAGTTTTTGTTGGTATGTATCTCCATTGTTTTAGTTCAGTCTTTGATTGAATGAATTCAACACGGTTGGCAACAAATGGTTTCAACTTTCGACTTTGATTTTTTATCCACCATAAAACATTAAGACTACCACACCATATAGTTACGTCCTTAGTTTCCAGCTTCAATGCCTTGACAATCTTCTCTGCAAGTCGTAAACCGAGGACAGCTCCAAGTAACTCAAGTCTTGGTATACTAATAGATTGCAATGGACTTACTCAAGCTTTTGACATTATGATCACACAGGTCACTTCTCCTGTGTCATATAAACATTGTTGGCAAGCAACAGCACCGTAAGCTTTACAAGACGCATCCGTAAAAACATGAATTGACCTATTTGTTACTGTCGAGGTTGTTTGTAAACATCTGGGAATGTTTATTTTTGGGAGATCGTTTAGTTCTTGAAACCATTGATCAACATTATTTGCAATCCTATCCGGAACTGTTTCATCCCACTCAATTCTATCAATACACAGTTTCTGCATAATTATTTTGATTCGAATGATATATGGTGCCAAAAAACCCAATGGATCAAACAACGTTGCCATTTTTTTAAGCAAAATTCGTTTTGTATATACCGTATTTTCTTCGGTTGTTACAGAATGAAAACTAAATAAATCAGGTTTTGCTTTCCAGACAACTCTAAGTGTTTTCATTGCAGGCAATTCTCCAGAATCTAAATTTATATGTTCTGCACGATCATTTTCTGGTGTTATTTTAACTTCGACCGAGTCTGAAAGCCACTTTCGTGCAAACATTCCTGCTGAACCCCATAGTAGCTTGAGTTCCTTGTATAATTGAATTCCTACTTTTTCATCAACTACAGAAGTTATAGTGTCGTCCATGTAAGTTGCTTCAAGAACAGCTTCAGAAGCCAAAGGAAATTTTTTTGCATACTTTCTTGCGTGTTCTTGCGTTACAAATTGAGCCATAAAAGGTGAGTTGATTCCAAATACGAGCCGATTAAACTGAAATACCTCAGGCTCGGCAGTTAAACCTAGGTTTCTCCATAAAATTTGTTGGTACCTTTGGTCATCTTTATGTATTCCAATTTTTAAATACATTTCTGCTATATCACAAGCTAAAGCCACTGGGTATTTTCGAAATCTCAGCAAAACAGTCACAAGGTCTTGTTGAAGTTTTGGACCTTGATAAATAACATCATTAATTGATTTACCATTAAATTTTGCAGATCCATCAAACACAATTCTGACTTTTGTAGTTGATTTATCAGGACGAAGAATTAGAAAATGTGGTAAGTACCAACCATCTCCAAGATCCCTTTTATTGATTTTCTCCAAGTATCCTTTTTCTTGATACTGCTTAATAATATTATTGTACTCTTCTCCTAGACTTTTGTTTTTCATTAGCCGTTTTTCCGTATTTTGTAATCTGTTTAACGCCATTGTATAATTATTGTTCAAATGTCGATTACCTTTCCATGGTAATTTTAGCTCATATCTTCCGTTCTCCGTTTTTAGCGAATAAGTTACTATATTAAGGGCGGTAGAGTCTTCTGGACTTGTCATTATTTTTCTAAATTGCATCTCTTCGTCGCCTTCAATTTCCCATAATTTTTTAATGGTGTTGTTTGCATCTTCTATTTCCTTTGTACTAGATGTTATTTTCGTAAAATGAGTTTGAAGAGATCCACCAGTACCACCAACACATGTCCATCCGAGCGGCGTGAGTCGAGCCACTGGTTCATTAAATCCTCCTTTTTACTTCCTTAATTGCACAGTGCAGCACAGCGTAATCCACACCAATTAGAATGTCAATTTTTGGTTTTGGTCCAATATTTGGGAATTCGATTTTTCTTAGATGTTTCCAACTTTTTGACATATTTGCCCAATTAACTGCTTTTAAGTTTCCAGTTACATTATTAACTGTAAAAGCTTCCACTGTAATTTTTGTTTCTCCATTTAACGATTCCAACTGAAATTCTACCGGTATCGTTTCGAAAGAATCAATTTTTCCATTTATCATGTTTACAGTTACTTTTTCGGTTTTACTTTGCAGTGACAACTCATCCGCTACATCAGAGTTCAAATATGTCTTGGTACTTCCATCGTCAAGCAATGCGTTTACCACAACTTTTTTATATCCATTACGAAGAATAACTGGCACCGTTCTAAGAGATATGTAGTTCATGACGTGATTTGAATGAAATTGGATGTTCGACGTATGAGAATTTTCTAATATCGTGTCTTTTTCTTTGTAGTCTTCAGAAATTGTTTCTTTTTTATGACTTTTCTTGTGAAGCAAATGATTATGGGTATCTGTACAGCCATCAATCCCACAAATTCTTGTGTTCCTGCATTCTTTTGACGAATGGTTAGAATTCAAGCATCTAAAGCAGAGTTTATTTTTCTTAGCTGTCTCCCATATTTTATGATCGTTTTTGCAAACAGAACATTTCTGTATCCAATTTATTTTCTTTTTTTGATCACTGTTACCAAAGTAAGAATTTCCTTCGTGTGCTTTGCTACCAATAGTTTTATATAATATTCTCTACATGGTTTAACAATAGTTAAACCATGTAGAGTTTCGGTTGCTGCAATTTGAAAATCTGCTTCTTCAACAATAAACTTTTTTAGAGTTTTAACATTTTCGTTTAAATTGTTTTCATACACCCATCGTTTGTATCTAATTAACATTATCTCATGAACTTTTTTTTGCAATTGATGGTACAATGTCCCATCGCCAAGTTCTTCTGTTCGATTTGCTTCTTTTAAGTTTGTTACTGCCACATCTAACAAATCCGCAAACTTTTCAACGTCTTTTGGATTATTTTCCCTCATGGGTTTAAAGTTATTCAATTCATCCAAATACATAAGAATTTTTCTCCTCGTTCCGCCATATTTTCTTTCAAGTCTTTCTTTTGCAGCTTCATAAGCGAATGACGAATGCCCAAGTCCTTCAACTGCTTTTAATGCGTCTCCACATAAATATTGACGTAACTGAAGTAATTTATACTCAGATGTCGCTGGGGCTTGATCAATGCATGCGTAGAATGAAGCTTTCCAATTTTCATAGTTCTTTTTATCACCATTAAATATTGGTATAGAGACGTTTGAGTTGTTTCCATAAATCATATCCAATTTTTGCAGTCTTTTGATCCAAATCAATTATTTCATTTTCCATTTTACGCATGATATCCGTTGATTTGATTGGTTCCATTTCGCTATTCCCATTTTCTTCTTTATTATCTTCATCATACTGTTCATTACTTTTTTGAGTACTTAACCATTGATAGCATTGCTTTTTTGTTTCCATTTTAAGTTCTTTTTCCATCCTTTGTTGTTTTAAACTTGATTTTAAACTTCCATTGCGCAATATCCATTCATTTACATGTTCCATAATTACCGCAAAGTCGTCGTTTAGTTTTTCATTTTCTGTACTGAATTTTCCTACATTTTCTTTTGATTCCAGAAGTTCGTATTTCTTTGATAATTCAACCATTATCTCGAGAGCTTCGTTTTGAGTCTTTGTTAATTGATTACTCAATTCGCGTAACTCATTTTTACAAGTGGGTTCATCGTCTCCAATTTGCTGAATAATTTGATGTTTAGTTCGCGTAAACGAAGACTTTAGAACTATTTTCTTCCTGTTCAATGCAGATACTTCATTTTGAACGTTTAACTGATCTTCTATTTGATTATTTGATTTTTGATTTTTTCTTTTTATAATTTTTCCGTGTTGAAGAAACTACCCTCTGCTACCAATTATGATCCGTTGGCGATCACAAATAATACCGAATATGTATTATAACTTATATTTTTAAGATCTTAACCGTTTTTACATTAACTATATTATTTATATTCTTTATATTTTTGTATCTTCAAAACAACCACAACAAAACTCTATTTATACAAAAATTTCGTTCAATAACAAAAATACTATCGTTCAAATAGTCGCCACATAATTGTTATTTAGTTCGTTATAGCCATATTGGCGCTATTTACTAGTTATATCTATCGTGATATCGGAATGTTGTTTTTCTTTTAAGCTGATTCAATTTTCTTCCAATCATATTATATGTGTTAAGTATTTTAAACCGAAAAAGTTTTTTTTTTCTGCCAAAAAATGAACTCAAGATAGTTTTTGTTGTGCAACAACGATGTCTCTTAATTATTTTTTTTAGTACATAAGATATTTAAATTTTACTCATAGTTGCAAAAGTTGAATCATTTTTTGTTCCATATTTTGTGAGATGACTTTAGTGTACCTAAGGAGAATTTTAAACCAAAAAAGTCAATTTTGCCAAAAATGGACTTTTTGATAGTTTTGTTTTGCAGCGACGATATATAGTTTTTTAAAATAAAAGTATAATTTAAGTAATATAGTATAAAAGTTTGTAAACATATTATAATAGTTATAAAAAATAAGACCAGGTCTTTTATAACTATATCTTATTTATAAACTTCATTACTATTATAACTATATCTAATTTATAAATTTCAAGACCTATATCTTATTACTTATATAAAGTGAAAAAGTTGTAACGTAATTTTAATTTATATTAGTTTTAAAACTCAAATAAATTGAAATTACGTTAACTAAATCAAAGAAACTATAAATCTAAACGATTTATATAACGGTTAGCACAGATCTTTATAACGCCTACCTAGCTGTCCCCAAAACGCCACTTATACGGAAAGTTAGCGTACACATCAAGGTACCCTCTGATGCAAATTTTGAAACCATTTAACTTTGTCCGCGGAAAATAATTTAATTTGAATGTTCAAATTAAGTCAAATTTTGACTTCATAGTGCGCCAATAAAAACACTTGTAGAATTTGAACTACTCAATATAATGTGATAGAAATTGGTGCCAATAGTCACACCAAACTCTGGACAAAATTTCAGCCTGATTGATGACGGGTGTAGGATTTATTGCAGTTTTAGTTAAAGTTTTGTCATTTTTTTGCTACTTACGAGTATACCTCAAAGCGTTACCGATTACTTTGAAATTCGGTCACTATTTTTAAAATAACGGTTACATGAGTGTTTTACTATGTAATACCAACAATTTTTGTTATAATTACTTTATCGGTACATGTACGGTTTTCATTTTATAGACCAAAATAGTGATTTTTTACTTAAAGCGTGATTTAATTAGTCTTATGCTAACAATGTCGACACGGCCTTCAAAGTGGAAGGGGTCAACCCTTCAATTTCTAAAAGAAAATTCATAATTTCTAAAATAATTGCCTATACTTCTAAAACAAAAGGTCCTCCCGAAAAAAAAATAGAGAAGGACATGACCCCCTAGTCTACCCGGCGTTGACGGCCATGTATGTTTCGCTTGAATATACCAACATTCTCTAAGGTATAAACTGCTGCCAAAAAAAAAGCTAAAAAAAAAGTACAAAACCTGGTCAAAGGACTACCAGTTAGTAAAACAAAAAAAAAGTAGATCTCCTAAAATATTTCGTATTGACCTCTTTAAATACATTTACTTTTAAAATAAAGTGAAAACTATTTAAACCCTATTTTTTACATTGTAATACCATCAAATATCTAATTACATTTTAAGAAATGTTTTTTTTTGATTTTCTCCACCAAAAGATTATCAATAAATAGCTCAATATACTCTTTTAATACAAATACTCTATAATACTACCTTTAAAGATGGTGAAAATATTCATTATACGCCGTAAAATATGAATTTCAGCAGCCTAATTTCTAATAACTCAAGTGATGTTCTTTAAAGATGCTTACTGTTTAGACCAATTATGCAGCGCAACACTCTTTCTTTGTACTCTGAATGATTATTATTTCGCTTATACCTCGACCAATGTTGATTAAAATCTTGATGATAAGTTTCGACAGTTTGTTCACTATAGGGCCCCAAGGGGGATCCTTTGTGACTGATGAAATCCTCGTTGTGGTAGAAGACGGCGTGAATTTTGAGTGTTACACTTGAACCAGTTATCATTAGGTAACACTTTTTAAAGTTTTCTATTTTTTAAGCGAAATCCGGCTGAAGGATGTATCCAAAGCAAGCCTTGACAACTAAATTGAAGCTTTTGAATGCTTCAATTATGCACACAATGTTGGGAACCATGTTTGTCTCAGCAAGTTGCTGCTGCATATCGACATTTTTAAGAAGCTTCCTGCATTCATTTCCCTCAAACTGACCCCCGTGATACAGGCTCAGTTAAATGTGGAGGGCAGTTTTAAGGATCTTGAAAAGTTGGTCGACAACTCCTAAGAGGAGATGCAATTCCATCGGTGGAATAATTTCCGAAATCAGAACATTGACAGGATCGCAGATGATTGGGTTTTGAATGACATTGCCAAACAGCTGTGCATTAGCAACAACCCCGGCAGATTGCTGAAAAGACTCAAGGCTTGAATTAATTGAGCCCAGTGTTCGCAAGTTTCTAGATTTGGCAAGACAATTGGATTTGACGTCACATCAGATGCAAGGGTGCGTACTTGAATGAGTTTGAAGACCACAAATTATATTTGCAACTTTCATATCATAAACTAAAATTAGTTTAACTCCGTTTACATTAATCAGTGATCAGATTTGTTCAATATTGGAGTGTGTTTCTGGCAAATCTTCTGAAACCCCAACAATAATTTGTCTCTTGACTCTAGTGTCTTTACCAGTCCTTTGAGTGAGAGGTTGTTGTTGGTGCGGTGAACTGGTTTCATCCCTTAACGCAGTATCAACAATGCTCAAGCAAAACTTGAGAAAACCTTTGCCACCATCAACTCCGAGCTTAACAAAATAGCCAGCAGAAATTTTGCGGGACTGAACAACATGATTCACAAGACTTGATAAATCATTACAGTGAGCAACAACATGAACTGTTCAAGTGTCTATTTTTTTGTCTGTGATTTTTAAGTTGCTGCATGTAAAAAAATCGCTCAATCGTTGACCTAGTCTTAGAAATTTCATGTAGAAATTTCGCTCTACCATCTTGCTGCTTGATGTTTTGTTTATAGTTCTAACAAGTTTCTTTATTCCTTTGTTTAACACGCTCATATTTAATTGCACATTCACAAGGACCACAGTGGTCAATTTCGGAGCACTTGATGGTGTCTGCGCACTACTTTGACCTAAAACCAGTTTGTGTAAAAATTTCAAATTATTCGTTTTTAAAGAAATTAGAAACTTGTCAAAAATATCTTTCTTGAAATCTGTCTAGTGTTATTTCTTAATAGTCAAGACTTTATTTCAATATATATGATGAAATTATTTAAGTATAAATATTTACCAGGGGTAACTGTAAGTGAAGGCCCGCCGAATGTTTTAGCCAGTAAAATAGTTCCTTTTGGAGATAATTCTTTATTGGAAATAAATCGAGATGCGATTTGTTCGGATGATTTGGCATCTTTTACTTAGCAGCAAAAGATGCCAAATATTCAAATATTTAATCTTTAGCAAGATTGAAAAATATTCAATCTTTAGCAAGATTGAATATTTTCCCTTAACATTACTTGAGAGCATAGGTGGGGCAAATCTTTTCCTAAAGGGATGAGGCATTTGCTGCAACATACCTTTGGTTTTTTATCAACAGTGGTTTGCTCTATAAGAGGATGTTTTTCTTGCAGCGTTGAACAACCAATTGGGCATATTAGGCAACAACACACTGTGCCTCTTGTTTCAGGTCTCACTTGTATTGACAAACAAAGGAGGGAGTGCAATTTCTTTCCCCTCTTGTTTCCTACGCAAAGTACATTCTACACGATTCGCAGAATTCTTTTGGTACCCGAGTATCACTGATATTGATCTTGGTCTTGTACAGTTGGCATATTCTATCTGCTTGAAAAGTAGTAAGCTGTCTTAATCATATTTTCAGACAGAGCAAGCACTATTTACTTGATTTAATTGAGGTAATGTTAAATTAAAAGAAAATAATTCTTGAATAGTTTATTCCTTACCAGGAAACAGTTGTTTAAACTATTTATTTGTAAGGAAATTACATTATTGAAAAAAACTCCGAAATTTGTATTGGTCAGATATCTTAGTTAACTTATTTAAATTTTAAAGTCAATTATCTTTGTCAATATAAAAAAAATTTGGTTTTTTCACAGTTGTTCCGTTTTCAGATAAATAAATATTTTTATTTTCTATGTA